AGAATCCGGTGCCCCAACCGGGACTAGAACCTGGTGTGCCGGCGCCGCAAGGCAGAGGATTAGCCTAGCGAGCTGTGGCGCTGGCCAGACTAGAGGTTCTTGAAGAACTATCTTAAAAAAATTTGATGAAGTATTCGTTGATCAAAGAAAGATTTGAGATGAATATTTATAAAGTGAATGTATCTTGCCATTTCCTCTGAATTGGTGTCTTTGGTTTGAAGTAAACTGGAGAGGAATGAAAGTGGCATTCTTTCCAAAGTCCACAATCTGTCTCAGAATAGACTCAGTTTTGTCCAGGCGAGATTGCTTTCTCCATTTCCTGTGCTACCCAGTAACCTTTTGTTTTACTAGTGCTCAGAATGCTACCATTGATCAATAATGGGGGTCTCACAACTTAAGCTGCAGAATTTTAACAGCAATTCATTCATTTCCTCTCTCTGTGTCTCTTTCTCTTACACACACCTATATGTGTATCCAAATAGAGACAGAACACACTTTTTATAAAATCAGAATTATTGACTTAAAACATAATCAGACTATTATTTGGGACCATCTTTTTACCCCATTTGTCCTCAACTTTTCACACCCCAACCTCTCTTCTTTTTTCTCTCTTGTTGCCCTGTGTTCTCCACATCCTCTATCCAGGCTTTCATGTGCTCATTCAAGCTTACTCTCGTGTTTCTCCTGTTTTTTGCCCTGTGGTCATCAGCTTCTTTCAAATACTATCCTGGACCCCTGACCTCACTGAACACGAAAAACCTTTTATAGATATGGTTTACATTGAGTTATTGTTTCTCCATAGTTAAGCTTAATTTATTTGGACAGAAGAGCTAGTTTCATCTTGAAAGAGCTGAGAGGGGGTGTTTTTAATTGACAGAAGGCCAAGAGAACATGATTTCTGGTATTTCCCCAGGGATGAAATTTTTTCTTAGAATCTTGTTGGAGAGTAAGGGCATTTCTGAGCGTTCTTCCTCCGTGAATGGAGGCAGCCCTTGAAATAGTCAAAATCTCAGCCCTCTCCCATGGTAGACAGGCTGGCAAATATTTCTGTGGTTGTGAGCTGCATTGTAATGACTGAAGTTTGTAGTTCTTCAAACCTCCTAGAGATGTAAACAGTAACCCACTCTAAAGAAGAGAGCAACAGAATTGTGTTGAAACTTGCTGTAAGGGAGGTTCTCCTGCCAACACCCTAACATGGTTGCCTTGCCACTGCCAAAGTCTGCCTACATATTTTCATCACTTGAGAGGAAGCATCTGCTCTCCTTTAATGTGGCGTAGTTATGTACAGGAAAGAAGACGCATTGATTTTTCACATGTTTTTCACTTATTCACGTGAACAGAAGCAGAGCCCATGACGTAGAAGATGGAAAAAAAATTTACTCCCACGTCTTGACCCATGTCGTACAAAGCACAGACCTAGTTGGGAACTAAAGAGCAGTGGTAACTGCCTTTAGCAGTCCCTGGCCCTGTTGAAAACAGGGCCCACATCCTGGACAAGATCACTTTAACCCTTGAAGGGTGACACACTATCAGATTGTAAAAACAATATGAAAGTATTTCTGTACTGTTTTGTTTGTGGGAACAAAAGGAACATCATGTTTTGCTTGGTCCTTCATGGGTTCTGTGCATTGCTAGCATTTTGCCTCCAGCCCACAGGCTGATGAGAAATGAATACCCTTCATGTCTGCAGGAGAACTCCTTAGCAAGGTTGGAAATTTGCAAGAATCCACACAACTTTAACAAACTCTTTGTGATCAAATGCATTCTGTGACAGCAAGAGCAGTAGCCTGTTTAGCCTTCTTTATTTGATATTTTGTAGTTTTAGTCTTTTTTTTCTTTTTAATGCTTATATGTAAAAATCATACAAATAGTTTCAACTTTCCTATAGGTTTGAATTTTTCAAATTAAAAAGTTGGGGCAGAATGACAAAATGCATTTTAGTTATAAAAACTTGGGTGTATAGAGAAGAAAATTAAGAATATTCATTTACCTCTTTTTCCCAGGGGATTAATTCCTTTGCATTTGCAAAAATACTTACAAATGGGCCGGGGCCGTGGCTCACTTGGCTAATCCTCTGCCTGCAGCGCCAGCACCCTGGGTTCTAGTCCCGGTTGGGGCGCCGGGTTCTGTCCTAGTTGCTCCTCTACCAGTCCAGCTCTCTGCTGTGGCCCAGGAAGGCAGTGGAGGATGGCCCAAGTGCTTGGGAGAACAGGAGGAAGCACCTGACTCCTGGCTTCAGATCTGCACAGCGCGCTGGCTGCAGCACGCCGGCCATAGCGGCCATTTCGGGGGTGAACCAACGGAAAAGGAAGACCTTTCTCTCTGTCTCTCTCTCTCTCTGTCTAACTCTGTCTGTCAAAAAAATACTTATAAATGTAATTAAGTTTCTTATATAAATTGGGATCATTTTTAAAAATGAACAATGTATCATGGACAACCTTCTCTTTCACTACATATAAGTCCATATCATTGTTTATTTGTAGCTACATGATATTCATGTATAGATGTACTGGAGTTTATTTAACCATTCTCATAGTTAGGAACATTTATGTTTTTTATAATTTGTGTTTTTATGCAGAATCCGACTCTCCCAGCGCTGAACTGTTCTGTTGAAAATACCCATCCAACTGTTTCGTACTACGCTCGTCCCCAAGTGGCATCCTACAATACCTACTACCATAGTCCGCCTCACCTGCCACCATATTCTGCTTATGACTTTCAGGTATGTTTACAAAGAAAAATAACTCTTTATTTCCCCTGTTTTCATTAAGGTTCTCTTGTCCTCTCCCTAAATTCAATTATGGAACCTTCTCATGGTCTTTATAATTTCTGAGGTAGCTAGTCTCTCTATCCTTAATGGCCTTTAGCAGTCTATGTGTAGCTTAAGAAATATGTAGGCAGACCATGATAGGAAGGTGGGGAGGCCAGGAGCAGCAGAAGAGGAGAAGAAAAAGAGAGATGGAAGAAAAGATAGAGAAGGAAACAGGAACAAGATATCCCAAATTGCCTTGAACTATACTAAGGAGACAATGACTTGCTGGGAAATGACTGTCCCTTCAGTATACCATTTTAGACCCCTGTCCACTAGTGGCTTTTTCCAGTCCTCTGCTATGGGAAGAGGTCTAGACTTGTTTTTGTGTGTGTGTGTGTGTGTGTGTGTGTGGTAACCTGAGCCACAAAAAAAAGTGAGTACAGTTTCTGAGCTCAAAAACTTGTAATGAGGAAGAAGTCTGCTTGTTTTTCTCCAGACTTCCTAATTAGGAATACACAGAGAAAATATTTTTAATATATTACCTCCTTTTTCTTGCCCTATTATCATGTGGCTCAGCAACAGTGTTACCAAATTTGTACTGTCTCCTTTTCCTTTCTAGGAGAGGTGAAGTGCAGAAAAACAGAACTAGGGGTGGGTGTTTGGTGCAGTAGATAAGACATTGGTTGGGGTGTCCACATTTCATATCAGAGTGTCTAAGATTGAGTCTTGGCTTCAGATTCCCACTTCAGCTTCCTGCCAGTGCAGATTCTGGGAGTTAACAGGCGATGACTCAAGTAGTTGGGTCTTTGCCACTCATGTGGGAGACCTAGATTGAGTTCATTGAGTTCCCAGCTCCCACCTTCAGTCTGGTCTAGTCATAGTCATTGTGGGCATTTGGGGAGTGAACTAGTGGATGGAGACTCTGTCTGCTCTGTGTCTATCATTCTCTCTCTATGCTTACTGAACTTAAAAATAAAAGAATAAAAAGGCCACTGTATTAAAAGGGATTCTTTGTGTGCAGAAAACCAACTAGGCATTTTAGGAAAACAAAAGAAATGGTCCTGTAGTCATGAACAGTGACTGTAAACCCTTGACTGCAGAAAAGGAGGATTACACCAAACTCTGGTTAATTCAAAGATTCAGGGACCAGAATACCTTTGAAGGAAGGGAGACTCATGATAAATTAGCTTCTACTGACTTAAGAGTCCGTGAATGTTCCAGTGACATGAAATCATGACTGTTAGGAGGTTCTTCCAATCACCAGCAGTTAGGAGACAGACTCTAAGGGAAGAGTTGCCAGAGAAGTTTGCCAGTACTAGTTCTTTTTTTTTTTTTTTTTGACAGGCAGAGTGGACAGTGAGAGAGAGAGACAGAGAGAAAGGTCTTCCTTTGCCGTTGGTTCACCCTCCAATGGCTGCCACGGCCGGCGCACCGCACTGATCTGAAGCCAGGAGCCAGGTGCTTCTCCTGGTCTCCCATGGGGTGCAGGGCCCAAGCACTTGGGCCATCCTCCACTGCACTCCCGGACCACAGCAGAGAGCTGGCCTGGAAGAGGGGCAACCGGGACAGAATCCGGCACCCCGACCGGGACTAGAACCCGGTGTGCAGGCGCAGCAAGGCGGAGGATTAGCCTAGTGAGCCTCGGTGCCGGCCTTCTAGTTCTTTTATACACAAAGTTGCTCTCTCTAATTGAACCATATCTGAAAAGTGAGTACAGATTTAGGCAATCAAGAGGGGCAGAATAGCAACCAATCAGGAAATCAGAATAACAGCCAATCAGAAGGCAAATATAACAACCAATCAGGGAACTGAAAGTATATGCTAATGAGGCATGCAATATGAACCAATAAAGAAACTGATATTGGAATAGCTTGTTTTACACAGAAGTGTGCAGAGTGCTCAATCAGGTCCATTTGGTAGACTCACCAACATCTGCAAATTACATTGTATGTATTTACTCCATCTCCAGTCTTGCTCTCACTCAGGGCTCCTGGAGAGGTATGCCATGTATTTTTTTCTTTCCTGTTTTTCTTTCCTTTCTGGAGGTCCCTGGAGTCCGTCCCTATCATAAGATACAGCACTGGTATAAGAAGGCATTCGTTAAAGTTTAGGAAAAATTGTTAGAATTTGTTTTAATGTTTACCATATACACAGGTACAAACACAGGTACACAATGCAGGCAACTTGTTACCCAAACAGGTGGTATAGACTGGAAAACAGTCATATATATTCAAGAATGGCAAAGACAATTTCAGTAGTGACAGAGTCAATAAGGAATCCTTTAAGAGAATGCAAGGCTGTTGAAGAGAACACAATAAGGGTCACTATTCTCTTGGGCCCCTAAAATAAAAAGTCATTCTGGAATACAGGGGCCACACACACATAGGTTGAGACCAAGAAACCTCCTTTTTATATAGAAGTAAATTACTTTAATTTTTAGGAATTCATGTTTTATAATGAACCCTTTATATAGGGACAGTAATATCCTTGGTGATGGTTGCCATAAACTCTAAGATAGGAGCCCCTCTATAGAGTATGGAGTCATCTCTCTGTCCATCATTCCTCATTCAAACCCTACCCCAGGAATGAAAATGAGTTTGACAGTGCCAGTGATGCGTTGGTTACAATCGCTATTTCCTCCGTGTTCCCATGTGCCAGGCAATATACTACCAGCTGTGTATATAGAGGTTGGAGACAGTCCTTACATTAAGACATCATTCTGTGGATTTGGGAGGAATATCAAGTGACAGAAATGGGGACAAAAATATAAATAGACAGTTACCCAGAATGCTATGGAAACAGGGTACCTAACCCAGAAAAGGGATCCAGATTTAGTCACCTAGTCCAAACTTACATGGTGACTTGTGACAGGGACTTCAGGGATTATAGAAACATCTACCTACTTTGAATATTCACTTGATTTATTTATTTGAGATGAAGAGAGACAGACATATAGAGAATGAGAATTCCCATCCACTGGTTCACTACCCAGAAGCCTGTGGCAGCTGGGATAGACCAATGCTGGGCCAAGACTGAGCTGAGGCTTGAAGCCAGGAGCCAGGAACTCAATCCAGATCCCCCATGTGGATGGCAGGGATCCAATTACTTGAGCCATCACCTGATACTTTCCAGGATCTGCACTAGCAGGAAGCTGGATTCAGAAACCAGAGGCACTTATCCTAGGTACTCTGATATAGGACGTGGATGTGTTAACTGCTAAGCCAAACATCCGTCCCTAGAAGTCTCTACTTTTTAATAACAGATATTATTCTTTGAACACTTACTATGTACCAAATGTTGTGCTAAGTGCATTACATGTCTTTCAGTCATTTAGTCCTCTGAGGGAAGTACTTATGTCATTGTCAGTTTTAAGACGAGATGACTGAATCATGGAGAGGTTAAGTGACTTTCTCAAAGTCACAGAGCTAATGAGTGGAGGAGTAAGTGTTTATATCCAGGGCCACCTGATACCAGAGATTAGCTTGAGGGATTCTTTGGAGAAACTGTGAATCTAAATGTAGTATAAATCTTTTCTGTAGTCAATTTCAGAATATTTATACTTGTCTACTGGTTTAAATTATAGGCATCCTAATAATGACCTTAGAAAGGATCTCTTTCTTATTAAATCCATCTCCATTGAAAAGGGATTCCCTCCCTTCATGCATTCCCCAATTCAGGGTCTGCCTAGATAGTTCTTGTACATCTCCCAACTCTTTCCCTGGGCTCAAGCTGTTTTTTGCGCTTTCTATTAGGAGACTTTATAGTTGTATGGTATATCTTGAGGGGTATGGTTTTAAGTGATTTGTATCCCTCTAGAACTTAAATCGAGTTTCATTTTGGTATTTGAGTTGAGCTTTCTTTTGTTCACCAAGGTCCATTCCTTTATAGTTCCACTCCTTTATAGTTTCATAGGAGAAAATACCAATCTTTATCAAAAAGTCAAGAGACCAGGGATTGTCTGCTTACGTTTGTAGGTAAACAGAAAGCAGTCCGCAAACATATACCAGCTCTGACAATAAAACCACCAGAGGCACAAACCTTTGCCCAAATGGCCAGAACTCCTTCATGCTCTTCTCAGATTGAAATGACCTAAGTTATAGCCAGAAAATTGACATTTCTACACTTTCTTTTAAACGATTTCTCTATTTTGGTCATTTCCAAATCGGGTTATTTATGTGACTTTGGGTTTGGTGGTTTGTTTCTTTTTTACTCTGAGGCTAATAAAAGGATGAGAAAAAAGACTTACAGGCTTGTATTTTTTTAAAAAAATATTTATTTATTTACTTGAAAGGCAGAGTTATAGAAATAGAGAGAGAGAGAGGGAGAGGAAGAGAGAGGGAGAGAGAAATATGCATCTTCCATCTGTTGATTCACTTTCCAAATGGCTGTAATAGTCAGCGATGGGTCAGGCCAAAGCCAAGAGCCAGAAGCTTCATTCATGTCTTTCATGTGGGTACAGGAGCTCAAGTACTTGGGCCATCACTCACTGCTTTTCCAGGCAAATTAGCAGGGAGCTGTATGGAAAGTGGAACAGCTGAGATGAACTGGCACCCATATAGGATCCAACACTGCATGCAGCAGCTTAACCCATTGCACCACAGCTCTTGTCCTCGATCTTGTATTTTAATCTCTCAAAGTCATGCCCATATTGCATAGCTACCCAATTAGGAAGATTGGGGAACATTTCCTGTGGTTGGACATGGGCAAGGACTTGGGTCTGTTTATTTGGAGCTGAGGAAACTTTGAGTTGATAAAGTTACAGAAACAGGACTCTATTTAATATATTGGATTCCAGGTGTCTGCTTCAAATGAACTCCCTATACTCCAAGGCTGAAAGGATACAAGATGATAGTACCTTTGCCTTGTTGCTCATTTCTTCAGCAATCATTTCTTTTGCCCTTTGCACTCATTAATCTACTACCCCTTTTGGGAAGCAGTCCCAAATTCTGCAAGGTATAAAGCATCAGTTT